TGTCTAATTAATAATCCTGGATTATAATCTCACCTTATCAAAGGGTGATAACCCTTTGATTCTTGCCCTGAAATACCCAGCTGCCACCAGCAACTCCAAAATTTCAGTCAATTTGATGTTTTGTTCTTCATCTTCTCTGGTTTCAACCTAACAAAGATACAATTAAGGCTAATTTTAAAATATTGTATTCACTCTACTCCTCCAACCACCCAACATTAGGACTCAAAATAAATTTTCCCAATTTTTTTCTTAATATAGACCACGTGTATGTTAATAGAGAGATTCTCTCTCACACACTTCCCTTCCATTTGCAATCTGATAACATCTTTATGGCAACTACAACAATTGCACACATGGAAAAACATTAGGCAAGTATTTAATGTGTTTCTAAGTGGCTTTAACATTAAATGTTTTGTCCTGTTTGAGAAAACCCATGCATTATTTACCAATCACTCTTGCCCTTTTATTTCAATCAGTCTACATCTCTTCTCTAAATGTGGTGTTTTCTCCCTCTTTTAAATAAACATTTCAGCTGTTGCATTCAAATTGAAACCATATCAGTTCCTGCTCTTCATTAGATCTCCCTGTCCCATCTGTTCTTAAAGTAAATCCAAACAATACGGGCACCAATTGCCACAGCACAGGTAACATACCTGTGATTCTGCAGTTTTCTTTCAACTCTGTAGGTCTTATACAATACTACATCTTAAATGTAATGTTTTCACAAAACTTTGTATGAAGATGGTAAGAGAAATGGTTGTGGGATTCAACTGTTTCCTTTACACCAAACAAACCATTTTCAACAGTCCAGAGTAGGGCAATACCAGCACTACTATTGAGCACTTATATTAAGCTTTTTTTATTATTATTTCCAAAGCACTGTGCAAACATTAACTAATTAATTCACACAACACCCCTGTGTAATAAGTGTTGTTACCCCCATTTTACAGGCAGGAAATGTGGGGAAAGGAGAATTTCCATGACACTCCAACCCCTTGAAGAAGAGTCAGCTGTAGAGCTAGGAACAGAATTCACACGTTCCTGGCTTCAGGCCTTATGCTCAATCGGCTAGAAACATCCTGTCTCTTTTAACCCAAGAGTCAATGCAGGAAAAAGGAAGCAAGGCTGGGAAGTTGCTGCCTTTGCAGTATTAATAAAGTAAGACAATCCGCCAGACCAGAGTGTCTCCAGCCGTTTACGTTTGGTAGAAATGTAAGGGTCCAACATCTTCATCTGGGAGTCTCCTGATATTTTGCGTTGATGTGGGAGCTTTCACGCTCGGCAAGGAATCACCACTCACACGTACAACACTGCTGAGATGAGCAGAGGGCTGCGGCCAGGGCGACAACCGCAACCCTCTACCCCGGACAACCCCCTTCCCCGAACTCCCCAGGATCTGGGCTTTGGGCTTTGGCATCAGGCCCGTCACCGGGCAGGCCACGCCGGGGTCAGACCCTCCGGCAGGGGAAGCCGCCAGGCCTGTCAGCCACCGGCATAGGGGAGAGGCAGAGGCCGCCCCAGGAGGCTGTGACCGGCACATAGCGGCGGGCGGGCGGGCCGTGCGCCTGCTGACCGTAAAGACCCGGCCCCGCAGCCGGGCGCAAGGCGGGGGGCTGGGCCAGGGGTCTCGTTGCCCCCCGGCTGCAGGAAGCCCCGGGGGGGGGGGCGGCGAGGCCCGGGGAGCTGGGGCAGGGACGGAGGGAGTCAGTGCAAGCAAGGGGCAGCTCGGTGTCCCCGGACGGGCAGGCGGGGCCGTACCTCCTGCGGAGCCTGGTACCCGTGTCCCTTGGGGGCGCCCATCGCGCCCGCTCTCCAGCCTGCCTGCGCCGCGCGCCTGCCGCTGTCACCCGCGCTGCCCCCGCCCACCAACGGCCGCGGGGGTGTCCCCGCCGCGCGTGCGCGTTCGAGCCGCGCCATTCGCTGCGAAAGGGGGCGGGCGCTGAAGGGTGACAGGCGGGTCATGTGACCGCTTGGAACACAGAGCGCTGGGGACTGGGGGTAGCCGCCTCCAGGTCTGCCCTTGGCTGTGGGCTGCGGGTGGCCGCTGGCAGCAGGCAGGGGGTTAATTATAGGGAGGGCCGGGGCAACCTCCCTGCCAGGCCAGAGCATTTGTCCTCAGCCCCTTCGCTTGCATTAGCCCCCAGCGTCCAGGGAACCCGGGATTTCCCTCCGATCTGCGTTTCACTGGGGGTTGCGAGGCGGTTTAAAAGCATTTGTGGGCACGTGCGTAAGCCCTGCAAATGCATCTTTTGTAAACGCAACTACTTATCCCGATTTTTTTTCTCTCTATTGCAAAAGTTTCCCGCACCCCCTAAGGGTTTCTCACCGTTGCTGCTAGTGCTGTGCAGTCGTATTCAGAGCGAGTAATGTAGGCTTGTTAGTTACTAAACTATCAGTGGGAGTTTAAAAGCATGCCCCTAATTTTCTCCCCCAAATATAAGCGCCATGCTAGCAAACCCACTGCGCCTGGTAGATCAGGGGTTCTCAGGACAAATTATTTGGTGGCCTCAGAGTGCGGCCACCAACTCTTGCTAGTGGCTGCTAAAATACTTCTTGATTAGCTCTAGGAAAAACAAATAAATATGTACAGATACACGTCTTACACGATTTATTTATTGCTAGCTAGTAAGTCTGTTGTGAAAAGTGATATTAATAAACGTACAAGTATCACTTTTCACAGCAGACATACTCAGCCCAAGCAAACCTGGGGACAAATTAAGCCCTGGATTAGGTGTTGGGGGAAGCAGCGGGTGGTGTTGGGGGAAGCAGCTGGAGCCTGGTGCCCCCTGGCCGGGAGATGGGGCCCAAGAATGGAGTCTGAAGCCGCATGGCCCGGACCCTAGGGCCCGGCCCTAGCAGCTGGAGCCTGGTGCTGCAGCCCAAAGCCCCACTGCCAGAGTCTCCCACCCTACCACCCCGGAGCTGCAGCCTAAAGCCTGAGCCCCACTGCCCCTGGGAAAGTGGGGAACTCACTGCTCCTCCAATGTTGTGCCCCAGGTGTCCCCAGAGGCAGGCAGGGCCCAACCCCTGCTGGTGGCTCCACCAACCAACCCCAAGGCATTGGCAACAGGAAGGAGGAGGGGCCACTGCTGCTCCCCCCTCCCCGCGCAGTCACACCACTCAGGAGGCTGTGGCTTCAAGAAAAGGCCCGGGTGGCCCCATGCAGCCACAGAAATGCTATATTAGATTCATTGCAGGTTGGGACTTCCGGCCCTGATGCAGCAAAGTACTTGCTTAAGTCCAATCCTATTCAGCAAAGCACTTAAGCACATGCTTCAACCCCACTGAAGTTAACACAGGTTTAGGTGATTTTTTTAAAATAGGGATGGGGCTACTCGTGCTTAAATTTACTTTCGAGCGCTATGCTGAATAAGAGCCTTAGGGTCTGATCCTGCAAACACTTATTCATAGAGTCCTGTGCGGATACAAAAATGTGGATCCTCCAGCCAGTAGCTATAAAAGCCCTCTTAGTAGCAGTTCTCTAATTGCTCTAGCAGTAAAGGGTTAAAAAGTCTCACTGCTATGCATAGGTAAAGGGAAGTAAGTGGGCACCTGGCCAAAAGAGCCAATGGAAAGGCTAGAACTTTTTAAAATTGAAACAAGATCCCCCTTTTGTCTGTCTGTGGTTGTTCTCTGGGGAGAAGCAGACAGGGTTGCAACTATGCTGTAAAAACAACCAGAAGTCCAGTGACACCTTAAAGACTAACAGATTTATTTGGGCATAAGCTTTCGTGGATTAAAAAAAACCCACTTCTTCAGAAGTGCATCTCTCGTTGTTTTTGTGGATACAGATTAACACAGCTACCCCTCTGATACTTGGAATTATGCTGTAAGAAGCTTGGGGCCAGGTATGAAAAATCGTTGGTATCATACCTAGAAACTACTCATTTGAAACCCCAGATATGTAAGTAGATCAGGAAATGTCTAGGAAGACACAATTAGGTTTATCTCTTTTTATTTCTCTATGGCTTGTGGACTCCTCTGTGCTTGTAACCTTTAAGCTGGACCTCAAGAGAGCTATTCTTGATGGTTGTTTTTTTTAAATCTAGCAAAAGCCTACGTTCCCAGATGTATTTTCTTCTTTTTTTATTAATAAAATTTACCTTTTTAAGAGGTTTGTGCACACATTATTTAATTAGCTGGTGGCAACAGCTGATTTCCTTTTTTTTCTCAGCTCTTCCTCAGAGGTGGGGTGAAAGGGCTTGAGGGTATCCCACAGGAAAGAATTTCCAAGTGCGCCTTCCTGGGTTCTCAAAGGGGTTTTGCACTTGGGTGATGGCAGTATCTACCAATCCAAGGTCAGAAAAAAGCTGTAACCTTGGGAGTTTAATACAAGCCTGGAGTGGCCAGTATTAATTTTTAGAGTCCTTGCAGGCCCCCACCTTCTGCACTCGAAGTCCCAGAGCAGGGAATCGGCCTTGACAGCATCAATGATAACTAACTTGTATCTGACCCATGATCTGCACTCCACCTTCTATATGTATCCACATCCGCACCAGCACCCTATCTCACTGTAAGAGCCCTGTGCAGATACAAACATTTGGATCCGCATCTGATCCCCGGTTCGCAAAGATGGTAAAGAATACAGACGGAGATCAGATGCGGATCCAAATTGTTGTATCTGCTCAGATGTATATTTTCACCTTTTTAAATAACAGACCTGGGTTTAGACTTTACCTAGGTTCATCCTTTCCTTCACTCACTCATGTTTTAATTTCTTTGCAAATAATATTAACATTTATATATTGTTTGTCTGGCTCCAGTTCCATATTCTGACACCAGTGTCACTCCTCCAGAGCACGTAGGGCCTTGAAGGTCAGCTTCTCAATGAAGGAGCATTGTGGAATTTTGGTTCATGCTGAAGAATGAAGGGGCATACAAATGTTTAGTATACCTAACACGTAAATACCTTGCAACGCTGGCTACAAAAGTGCCATGCGAACGCCTGTTCTCACTTTCAAGTGACATTGTAAACAAGAAGCGGGCATCATTATCTCCTGCAAATTTTAACCAAACTTGTTTATCTGAGCGATTGGCTGAATTAGGATTGAATGGACTTGTAGGCTCTAAAGTTTTACATTGTTTTATTTTTGAATGCAGTTATTTTTTTGTACATAATTCTACATTTGTAAGTTCAACTTTCATGATAAAGAGATTGCATTACAGTACTTGTATGAGGCGGATTGAAAAATACTATTTCTTTTGTTTTTTACAGTGCAAATATTTGTAATAAAAATAAATATAAAGTGAGCACTGTACACTTTGTATTCTGTGTTGTAACTGAAATCAATATATTTGAAAATGTAGAAAACATCCAAAAATATTTAATAAATTTCAATTGCTATTCTATTGTTTAACGGTGCAATTAATCACAATTAATTTTTTTGAGGTAATCGCGTGAGTTAACTGCGATTAATTGACAGCCCTAAAATATCTAAATTGACGTTGGCTTTACCTCATCCCTTCCCTGTAATCACTGGGGAAATCCTGGACAATGCTTCTTATCATTTTGATTCAAATGTTCTCTGAACTGTTGTAGGCCATTTTTTTGGAGACAGTGGAACAGATTTTATGGTCTCCATGAATTGAAGTCCAAGTTTTATTATACTGGACATATCAAGGATTTTCTGTCTGTGATCCAAGCCTTTCCTTTGATTTTTGAAAAGCTTGGCATAATGTTCTTTTCAAAGACTCTCATATTCTCCAGAAGCAATTACTAAGAAAAACAAATTAACTTTCATCACGCTGTCTATTCAGACTTTGGAAATAAGGACAGATGCTGAACTGACAATTATTTGCAAATCATAGTCAGTTAATTTCAGCATGAATTGAACCTGAGTATCGATGACAAATAAAATACATTACTTGCCTGCAAAGGTTCTTGTTTCACTATGACACTCCAGCCCATTCCGTTAATGTTCAACACCAAACTAACTTGAGTTTAGTTGAGAATCAATGGAAGAGTTATCTAACTATTCTTATTAGTTAAGAAGATACTTTGTGGAATTTTGGTTCATGCAAAGGACTGCTTTTCACAAGGGATCATGGGTTCTGATTTGTGGGGAGTAATTGGCTCACTTTGAAAGCTTTGTCAAGTCTTTTGACCTCAGTAAATCCAGCCAAAAATTTGGTACAAATTAGGAATAAGTGAACAGAGAAAGTTCCTTATCTGGATGTTAACCAGAGCTCCATGTATAATGTGACCAAACATGCATAAAAATTGCCCCATAATTTCTAGGTTTTTTTTAACATTACCACATGATATTGGTCCAGAATCTACGTTTTAATTTAATAAAATAAGTCAATACCCCACATGATTGTCACCTAGTCTAAGACTGGGCCATGATGTCTGAGTCTACAGACAGTATAAAACCATTGCGCTGAAAGAGATGTGAACTGCTCCTCTTCTTCTCAGTGGGTGATAACTGAGAGGCCGAATGATGTCAATTAAAACATCATCAACTATTTCACTGCTGATTATTTTAGCGCAAATAGCCAGGCGATATGTTTGCTTATTATTGTTTAATGTAGTGATAGGTAGTGGGTAAGGCTGCA